CACCCACCCACCCACCCATGTCCATCCAACCATCCATCCACCCAGCCATCCGTCCATCCATCCGCCCACCCACCCAACCCCCTGTCCGTCCGTCTGTCTGTCCGTCCGTCCCACCTTGGTGTGAGTGCCCGTGGCCGTGCGTCCAATCGCTGCCCCCCAATTCGTGGCCGCCGTCCTCGTGGTGAGTGTGGGGAACTGCAGGAGGGGAGCAGGGGGGGGAACCACCATGTGTCCGTGTGTCCCCCAAAGTGAGCCCCAAAGTACGGGGTGGGGGGACACTGAGGGCCACATTGACCCCAAAAATGCCCCCACTGACCCCAAAAGTGCCCCAGTGACCCCAAAATTTGGCCATGCAGCCATGGGGAAGTGAGTCTCTATAGGGCGCAATGGAGCTACCATAGAGGCAGGAAAGAAGGGATAGAGTGGCCATGGGGGACTGATCCTCCGAGGCAGGAAAGAAGGGATAGAGTGGCCATGGGGGACTGATCCTCCATAGGGAGCAATGGAGCAACCATAGAGGTGGGGAAAGGGGCATAGAGTGGCCATGAGAGAGGGGCTCTCCATGGGGATCAATGGAGCTACCATAGAGATGGGGAAAGGGAGATAGAAAGGCCATGGAGAAGAGCATCTCCATAGGGATCAATGGGGCTACCATAGAGATGAGGAATGCAGGATAGAGTGGACAAGCAGGAGCAACTCTCCACGGGGATCAATGGAGCTACCATAGAGATGGGGACGGAGGTATAGAGCGCCCCACGCGGTCCTCCAAAGCGCCCCGATTGCCCCCAAAAGTGCCAGAACGACCCCCAAAGTGCCCCACTGCCCCCCAAATTTGGGGATTTTGGGGCTGGGGGGGGTCAGCACTCACCCAAGGCGTGGGGGATGAGGTGGAGGAATGCATCCCCCAGGAGACCCCCAGCAGCAAAGCTGCCACAGTGAACCCCAAAATTCAGCCATGCAGTCATGGGGGAGTGAATCTCCATAGGGAGCAATGGAGCAACCATAGAGGTGGGAAAGGGGGCATAGAGTGGCCATCGGGGACTGATTCTCCATAGGGCTCAATGGAGCTACCATAGAAATGGGGAAGTGGGGATAGAGTGGTCAAGGAGGAGCGACTCTCCATGGGGATCAATGGAGCTACCATAGAGGTGGGGAAGGGGGCATAGAGTGGCCATTGGGCACCGATTCTCCATAGGGCTCAATGGAGCTACCATAGAAATGCGGAAGTGGGGATAGAGTGGCCAAGGAGGAGCGACTCTCCACGGGGATCAATGGAGCTACCATAGAGGTGCGGAAGGAGATATAGAGCGCCCCACACGGTCCTCCAAAGCGCCCCGATGGCCCCCAAAAGTGCCAGAACGACCCCCAAAGTGCCCCACTGCCCCCCAAATTTGGGGGTTTTGGGGCTGGGGGGGGGCAGCACTCACCCAAGGCGTGGGGGATGAGGTGGAGGAATGCATCCCCCAGGAGACCCCCAGCAGCAAAGCTGAGCAGCAGCCGGAGCAGCCCGCGGTGCTGGGGGGAGTTGGACTCCAGGGGCACCAGGAAGAGCAGGAGGTACGGAGCAGCGCTGATCAGCAGCGTGGCTGTCATCGTCTGGGGGGGGACGGTAATTGGGGGGGGTTAAT